GAAGTCACATTTAAGTGTTTTTTTCCTCTGTCCCAAATTGAAATAAAAATATGTTTAAGGAAGCAGCTACCAGAAGAACACACATTGATTTTTTTACTCCACCTCTGCTTCCTGGGTAGGTAAAGAGCAAAAAAGCCCACAAAACCAGCTAGTTTTTTTATCCCGAGAAACCTGGAGAACAAGCTATGAAGCTCAGAAGCTCCAGCAGGAGGTTGAATACAGTGACTCCGAGATGCTCCATAGGTAGCTCCCATCATTACTCTATAGTGGTAGGGGACTTCTTTGCAAGCATCTCTGCTGTATTCCCCACTCCTAACGGGGATATCATTCCTCCTTCATATCCTCCTAACAGGGATATTCATCATTTCTGATGTAGATGAGCTTAACCTTTTCACTTTTTCAGTGTAAATGCCAGTAACCCTTTCTGAGGGAGCTGTCTTGCACGTCTCTGTGCTTGAAAAAAAAAAAAAATAATAATAAAGAATACATATCTCCAGCTGACAGAGGAAGTTTAGCTGAATTTTCAGAGAAAAACAAAACTGAATTAGGGGCCTCTAACAATAACACTTCCACTTTTCTTTCTGATGTTTTTTTTTTCCTGTGATGCTCCATAACAAAAATCAGTTCGTCTGAAAAAAAAATACAAAAAAACAACTTCTGGAAAACCAGAACCTTCTGCCCAAAAGCAAAAGAAACGCTGAATGTTTTGCTGAATGCTTCTCCCAGAACGTTGCCTATGTGACCCCCTGCAGCCGTACTCCTGCCTCGGCTGCATCCAGCACAGGGCGAGGCTGAGAGCCAGCTGCACACAGCGCAGGACGGCCATGGGGACATTGCGCAGGGAAATGAACAGCACCCAGAGTGCATCATCTCCCAGCCAGCAGTGCCGTTACCCACTGACTTCTACCACAGCACTACCACCATGCTGGTATTGGCATCACTTGAGTTAGCGCTGCTCTGCGCTCTCCCCGTGCCCCGCTGTCGGGGCGGGCAGGACGGATAGCACGCCGCAGTTGCAGAGCCGGGCTGCGCAGCCCGGCAGGGCAACGCCGTCGCCATGATGGCGCCGGGCAGGGGGCGGCCGCAGGGCGGGCCGGGACGGGCCGCGGATGGGACGTGGCTGCTGTAGTCAGTGCAACGCAGCAATGTTGTCTGTAATGCCAAGTAAAGCGTAGGCTGACGGGATCGGACGTCTTGCGTGCCTCTAGATGGCAGCACGGCACCGCCGGAGGATCGCAGGCTCAGGTTCCCGCCGTGACGGTGCCTGTGGTGGCAGATGTGGCAGAGCGGCTCGCTGCCATGGGCCTTCTGCTACCAAACACTCCTCGTGTCGCCTCCAGAACCGGGCGGCCACGTACCTGAGGACTGTCCCTGGTGCCATCGGCTCTGGTTGACCTTAGCCACCCACCAGCACCACAGCATCAGCTGCTGGAAGCCAGCGGTGCTCCCTGCTCCCCTTTCTTGATGCAGCCAAAACCTTTCCGCCCTTCAGTCTTTTCTTGAGCGTAGCAGGCAGATTCCGCTTTCCGTAACCCAAAAGTGAAAATGGTACCAACACGACTTTGGCCTGAATCATGAAGTTTCTTTCTTGTGACTGTACTTCCAAATAAGTTAGCAGCAGGTCTCTCACCAGCTTCAGTCAAATTGGGATTTATAGAATTGTATGGGTTGGAAGGGACCTCTGGAGGCCATTGAGTCCAACCCTCTGATAAAGCGGATTCCCTACAGTAGGTTACACAGGAAAGCATCCAGACAGGTCTTGAATATCTCCAGAGAAGGAGACTCCACAACATCTCTTGGCAGCCTCTTCCAGTGCTCTGTCAACCTCCCTGTAACTAAGTTCTTCCTTGTGTTTGTATGGAACTCCCTGTATTCCAGTTTGTGCCCATTGCCCCTGGTCCTATTTGGTGCATACCACTGAAAAAAGTCTGGCCTCACTCACCTGACTACTACTTTGTAGATATTTACAAGTATCGATAAGATCTTGTCTCAGACTTCTCTCCTCCAGGCTGAACAGCCCCAGGTCTCTCAGCCTTTCCTCATAAGAGAGATATTCCATACCTCCAATCATCAGCCCTCCACTGGATTCTCCGTAGAAGATCCCCATCTTCCTTAAACTGACAAGCCTAGAACTTGACACAGTAAATTCAAATGCTATGCTGCAGGTAAGCCTTCAACTGATATAATGTTAATTTAGACTTTGAACCCTTGGTTGGCACCACTATTAATTTTTCTATACTATTTCTATATCTATTTCTAGCCCAAATTCATGAAGAAATAAGGCCATTGTGGCCATGCTACCCTTGTATGTTCACTTGACTGAATCTCATTCATCCTCCAAGTCCCAGTAACTTTTGATAGTCTTGGCCAATTTCTGCCATTGAGCTGAGATTACATTCCTACCTGCAGTCAGACTGGCAGGCAGGTAAAGCTGCTAGAAGGAGGTGTCAGCTGGTTTGTACCATTTCAGACAACCTAAAAAACAGTAGCAAATCTGAAAGTCTTGGTACCCGTGGTACTTACTTAAAAAAAAGTATTAATATCGTAAAACTTTAACAATTAGTATCGTAGCATCTGTTTTAATTATTAAAGATATTGATGTTGTTTTGAGGGTAAATTTTTAGGATCTACCTGTTCGTGCCCTAGTCATAAGAGGAAATGACTCCGTTCTTTCCCAAAAATAGGACAAATAAGATAGTTTCACTGCTTCTTTTCTTCTCTTAAAACAGAAGCATCCAGAATGGGAGTTTTGTTTTCTTACTACTTTTCACAGACATTTTGATTCCTGTGGTTCTTGGAGGTAGCTGCTGGAGTGTGCAGAGACAAATGGATGAAGAACAGTATTCATCTGGTTGGGATGAAAATTACTCACTTGTTAACTTTCCTAATGAAAGCAATGTCTGTGAAATGGGAAGCTATCATAGATTTCAAACCCATTTCACTACTGTTCTCTATACTCTGGCATTTTTGCTCAGCCTGCTAGGAAACACTCTGGTGTTATGGATCCTATTCAAATATGAAAACCGTACATCTTTAACGAACATCTTCATCATGAATCTTTGTGTCTCTGACTTAGTCTTCTCATGCATGCTGCCATTCTGGGTAGTGGACCAGACCTTCGAGTGGATTTTTGGTGAGTTCCTTTGCAAGGCAGTGAATGCCATTTTCTCCATTGGCTACTACAGTGGTGTTTTCTTTCTAACTCTCATGACTATTTTACGGTACTTGTCCGTTGTGAACCCTCTTTCTACTCTGAGATCCCAGACACGGTACTGTGGTTCTCTGGTGTGCTTGTTTGTTTGGACTTGCAGCATTTTAATTGTAGTTCCTGAGATGATTCACACCACGGTGGTGGAAAACTTGAACGAGGTTACCTGTGATTATGATGACTGGAAATGGAAAAATGTGGACATTTATCAGAGAAACATACTCTTCCTGATTTCCTTTGGGATTATCGTATTCTGTTACATCAATATACTGATCATTCTGCTTGGAACAAGATCTCGCAGGAAGCACAGAACTGTGAAACTCATCCTTGTTATTGTGGTGGCTTTCTTCCTGAGCTGGGCACCTTACAACATCCTCAGCTTTCTGATTACTTTTCCATCACCTACATGCCAGTATGAAAAAGACACCCGCCTCGCCTTTCACATCAGCCGTAAAATTGCTTTCTCCCACTGCTGTCTCAATCCTGTGCTCTATGTATTTGCTGGAGTCAAGTTCAAGAGGCATTTGTTTCGTTTACGCAGACAGTATTTACCCTGTGGCGATGAAGTCTCCAGCCCCCGGATCGGCTCTCAAGGCAAATTCCACTATGAAGATGGGTCCATCTACTGAAGGGAGACCAAACTATTAGCTCTAGTCTCAGATGAACTTTCAGATTTTAAAGGCCATGCATGATCTCTGATTCCTAAAGGCTCTTCCCTGAGAAAGTGGCAGATTTTGTCTTTGCAAACATATTGTGTATGGGAAATGATTAGAAGTATATTTGCAGGAGGATGGAGAAACCAAGAAGTGACCTCAGTGGTCTGTAGCTCTTACCTTTATGCTTTTTGGCACAGTGATACTTTTTCTCATTCATGGTTTTCTTTAGAAAAAGAAAAAAGAATGCTTGCTTTTTTCTCTGGGAGTTAAAACTTTAGATCTTAACGTGAATAGTGGTGCACATTTCTTTCTTGCCTGATTTTAAATATTCATATTGTTTCTAGCATGGACACTTAAGCATTTCTGTAGCTTTTAATGCTTCACAGTATTTGTTAGTGCTGAACTCACTGATTTTCTTTGCGTGCAAATGTTCTTTGACCTATTGATAGGCAAATATATACAAAGCCAACAGAGTGCAAAAAAGCTTTTTTTTTTGACCTGCTTCACGCCTGTCTGTATACTATAGATACCTATATCTCTGAGGTATGTGAGCATCTTATAAATGCTTATGAAAAAAAAAGTCGAGAATTGTAACAGAAGCACAAAATATTTAAACAGTCCTGCCCTGCTCACTTTTTAACAAGTTATGTAAGTCTGCTTGTAGCTTAAGCATATGTTACCATATATCTGAACATGTAAAGGTGATGTGAAATATTATCCAATCATACTGTTGTCAATCATAACCAAAAGTAACTCATGTAGAGATTTCTCCTAGTGGTATAATAAAGCGGTACTAATAAATGTTCAGAAATTCAAAGGAATATTACATTGTTACTTTTGTTTTCTGCCTTTGAGAACTACCTATAAGAGCTAAAGTATTTTCAGTTGCAAAAGTAATTGTGTATTTTCATAAATTCATTTATTTTGGAAGAGACTTCTGCCAGTCCCCCACCCTGCTCACAGCAGTTCTACCTTTGCTGTTTGGTGAGGCTGCTCAGGGCCTTGTCTGGTGAAACTTTGAAAATCTCCAAGAATGAAGACTGCATAATACTCTTCGGGGTTCCTATTCCAGTGCTTAACAGTTCTCATGGTGCATTTTTTTTTCCTTCTACATGAACAAAATTTCCGTTGCTGTAACCTGATGCATCTTTCTCTTGTCCTTTAAATGCACTCTTCTGAATAGAGCTAGATTGTTGTTCTCTGTCTTTCCATTGCAGAAACAAAGATAGCAATCAGTTCTCCTCTGAGCCTTGCTATTTTCCTGGGCCTAAACAAACCCCAGACATCTAGTCTTCTTATCCATCATGTTCTTCAGCACCCTAGCTGTCTTGGTCACCTTCCACTGTACTCACTTCAGTAAATATCTCTCTCGTATTGAAGGCCGCAGACTGGATTTGATACGGCACTTGTGACTACATGAGCATCAGGTAGAGGGGAGTAATGGTTTCCCTCAACCTACGGGGCTGTACATTGTAAGACTTCACCACTGCAAGGGCATTTAACTGTGCTTTGGTCAACTAGTTGTCCATTTGAAATACCAGATCTTTTCCAGCAAAGCTGATCTGTAATAAGGAGGCTCACTGTCCAGGCTGTTGCAGGGAGTTAGGGCATCCGAAAGGACTTTGCATTTGCCAATAGTGAACTTCCAGAGCTTCTGCTCCTCCAGTGTTTTGAGGTCTCCATGTATGGCAGCCCTGCAACTCAAAGGGGTGCTCCCTTTTATTTTATGTCATCCATGAACATGCTAAAGGTACAACCTTTCCCACTGAACACCTCCCTGAGGCCTGCCACTCATGACTAGCCAAGCATGAAGATTTAAAACCATTGACTTCTACCTTTTCAGCCTGATAGTCCAGTCAGTTTTTCATCTACTTTTTAGTCTACCCATTCAGTCTGTATCTCCCCTGTCTAGCAAAAAGGATACTGTGGGGTACTTTATCGAAAGCTTTACAGAAGTCAAGGTAAATGACATGCACTCTGTTCCTCTCAACTCTGGACTCAATTATCTCACTGTAGAAGACATTCAGGTGACTCAGGCATCATTTTTTCTTGGTAAGTCCGTGCTGGCTGTTTTCAAACATTTTTGTCCACATCTGTGTGGTTATGGCTTCCCAAAGAGTTAATTCCTATACTGGGGCACAGGGGTAAGACTAACTATCCTGTATTGGGCAAGCCAGTTGCCTTTTTCAAACCATCAGTGACACCCCCCACCAATCACCACAACCCTTCTTAGGTAACAGACAGCGCATTGCAAAGATACTGGGCAACAGCCTCAGCAACATCATATGCATCCTGCTCAGTCCCACAGAAGTCTACAAATCCAGTTTATTTAAATAGTTCAAAGCAATTCCCCTTTGCTATGGGTGGTACATCAAGACATGCAAGCACTTGGAGCTATATCTGTTGTAAAGAGAAAATGCTTTGGCGTAGCTTCTGTCTTTGTTTATATGCATATTACTGAAACACAGGATAGTCTTAGTGCATGTCTAGGGATGGGCAGCTCAGTATTCTCATTACAGACTTACCTGAAAAATCTCTTTCTTTCCGGCACTTCCAGGAACGTGGAAAATACAGACTACTCTGGGTAAACTGTAATGCTCAGAGGACTTTGAATCTTTAATTTCACTGAATAAATCAACTATTATTTGGCTTGAGCAAATGAAGAACTGAGAGAAAGAACTTTATGAAGTGAAAAAGGTGAAATTAATTGCTTTTAGAAACTACAGTTTATTTTAGGGAAGGGAATGGGATCGGGTTGGGTGGTTGCACTCTTACATCTGGCATTGGTACTATGACTTGCACAGTTCCAGGAGGGCCTTTATGCAGGATGGCACCCCTAATCTTAATTGGAAACGACATTTCAGTGGACATGCTCTTCCTGCTCTGATTAAGTTCATATAAAGCTTAACCCCATGGAATGGGAGAACAACCAGCTCCTCCTGCAAGCTCTCAGCTGGACTCTGTTTCTCAGCTTACCTGTCTCTTTTCAGCAGGTCCACGCAAAACTAAGCATCACTACTATAAATTTCCCAAGCTTTTGTGTGGCTGTGGAAGCCTGTATCTGCCAGCATGCTAAGTAGTAAGGCAAGTAACAAAGTTAATCCTTTCTATAGTGAATGCATATTCTTAAAATTAGAAGATATCCACACCTTTAAAAAGACATCCCCACTCCTAGTAAAATCAATTATAATTTTTCTTCTGAACATAATCAGAGCAAGAGTCAGACACTACACTCATAAATGAGTGCAATGTGCCAGACAAAGCATGGCGTACACTGCTAATTGCAAGGAGCATTTTGATCAGGAACAAAGATGCCTTCTCCTCCTATGACTAAGTATTTGGAAAACACCAACAGTGTTATTAAAATCATAAATAAAATTCTATTTTATCTTCTCCTTATGGTTACTCAGCAATTGAAATGTTCTCACTCATCTGCTGTTGAAACAGGAGGGCTCTGTGTTAACCAGTTCGAAGCTTGACTGGTATTTGCTGTACTGATCAAATACCTCTATGTGCTTCAGGATGCAAAACTAAAGCAAGTGCAAAAATTAGAATGGAAAACAGTGCAAGTTTGCTGTCAAGTCAAAATGAGAACAAACTTCTTAAAGTACCAGTACAGATGACCTATGAGGAGCAGTTATCCATCATCATAAATGAGAAACACAACCACCAGTACTTTACTTACCAGTACAGAGTTTTCTTGAAATGAACTCACCCACTCCTATGCATACCAAATGTCAGTTAACCACAAGCCATTTATTTACGTAAAGAATCTGATCCACATTAGGATACAATGAACACTGAAGTCATCTCACAGCATGAGTCCCCATGGGAGGGGACTACCACCAGAAATATTTTTCTGCATTTCACCTTCATATAAGACTGTTAGTGATGAAAGACTATAGAACCTGGTAAAGCTGGCCATACAGAAAATTATTTGGGTTTTGCAAGCAAGTTGATTACTCATTTCTTACTTTATTTGAAAAAGCTTGCATCTGAGATAGGATAACAACATAGGCTGGGGCAGGCAGTTGCCTGGAAAACAGCTCTGCAGAAAAGGATGTGGAGGTCTTCAAACATAATCCAACAAATATGCTTGAAGAAAGAAGGCCAGACACATCCTGGGCTGTATTAGGAAGAGTATAGCCAGCAGAACCAGGGAAGTGATTGTTCCCCTCTTTTTGGCATCTGTGAGGACACATCCGGAGTTGGAGGCCACCGAGCCAGAGGCTGCAGCATATGATGGACGCAGAAAGGCTGAAGGAGCTGAGTTCATCTGGCCTTGGGAAGAGCAGGTTCAGGGAACAGCAATGTCTGCAGCTTCCTGCCTGGAGGAAACTGAGAAGATGGAGCCAAATTCTTCTCGGAGGTACATAGCAATGGGATTCAGAAGCAACAAATATAAACTGGTACATGGTATATTCTGGTTAGGGATAAACATTTATTTTTTTACTACAAGAGTAGTCAAATACTGAAAAAGGGACTTAGAGAGGTGGTGGGATCACTGCTCTTGGAGGTGTTCAAGTTTACTGTACACAGCCTTGAGCAACCTCTTCTGATTACACTTGTTCTGAGAAAGAAATTGGATTACAGACGTCCAGAGGTTGTCTTAAATATAAGCTACTCTACTATTGTTTAATTTGTTGCTGGAGAAACGTTAAATGAAATAAAAGTTACTGCAAGTTTGTTTTAGACTAGAATTCAGCCTCGAGAGAACTGAACACAAAACCATTTGTTTTCAGCAGATGCTTCTGGTTGTGTACTGCATGATGCAGTGAAGCATGCCAATAGAAGTCAGCCTAAAGGTTGGTCAGAACAGTGTAAGCCATTTTATGAGTCATGTGCCCAAAACATGCATAGCCCTGTGCCTGCACTTTTGAGGATATTAAAATGCTTCCCAGATATTCAAAATCATACTTTAGGTGAAGACTACTCACCAAAACTTTAAGGTCACTTCAACATCCTTATGTTGAACATGAGAAAAATGTGGGTGATGGAGATGTGTCAGTGACTACATACCACGTGCATTTCCTTGGAGTCTTGAGAATAGGATGCTTTGATCTTATGGCTGCCAAAGCTGAAGTTTACGACATTAACATAGTCACAAGCACTGAAGCAAGAATTGATAACAAACTGCTTGGTCACAAGTTTTATTTGAAATTGTTTATTTAACAAGGCAATGGTAATGAAAAAAAGCAAATGAACACAGTTTTCCAGTACACTTTAAATACAAAAATGTAGTCAACTTCAGACACTGTGAAAAAAATGTCTTTTCAGAGAGCAGTATGTGTGATAGAAAAAGAGTGGAAGTAGCTTCTTTGTGGAAGGACTAGCTTGTGCCGGGAGGTGTGGGAGCACACTGCCAGTAACCCACATTAGCAAGGAATCTTATGTTCCAGTTTCACACCAGCTTTCTCCCCATCTCTTAGAAATTAGGAGAACTCTCAGAAGGAGCAGTGAGGCAGTGGCACAGGCTGCCCAGGGAGGTGGTGCAGTCACCGTCCCTGGAGGTGTTGAGGAACCGTGTGGATGTGGCACTGAGGGACGTGGGCAGTGGCATGGTGGGGTGGGTTGGTGTTGGACTAAGGTGTCTTACAGGGCTTTTCCATCCTAAATTCTATTCCGTGATTGCCATACATGGTCTTCATCAATCCCTATCGATCCCTACCGCTGTCTTACAGCTGTGGGAAAAGTGTTTTCCTTTCATCAACGAGAACAGAAAGGGGAAATGTGCTACATACTGGCTTCACTGAGCACAGCTCTCAAAGTCACTTCAGTTGTGCTTGATGCATAAGCAAAATGAAACAAACAAACAAGCAAC